AGCTCCCGTATTTTAACTTCTTTACTTTCTACCCCACCCACCCCATTCTTCCTGAGTAAACTTTACCCACAAGAGGTGAAGCCTTTGAAGAGATTGGGCACTATCTTACCATCCAGCCCATGGCTAGGCTGTGCACTTTCCTGCAGCTCCTCAACTTGAGATTTCCTTCACCACCTCAACTAATGCCACTGATTCAACCTCTTAACCACATTCTTTTTCCAGTGCCTCTCTTACTCTACCAGCACTGTGGCTGTATCCCACCTTATTGCAGTGAAAACACCAGAGGATTTTCACCTCTTTTCTACCGTCTTGGGTTTCTTTTTATTTTCCACGTGGTAAACTGTTCCCAGTATGATCTACTTGGTTTTTCATTGAAGGAAATCCCTCTTTCCCAATTTCTTTCCCTCATGGAATGAAATTGCTGTCGGAAACTAGATTGTGATTTATGCACTAATGCATATTCATGTGCCATCTCTGTAGCTTTTCTCACGGTTTTAACATTCTGTTCCTCAACACGAGTTCTTATCAATTCTGGAAGTGAGTTTTTAAACTCCTCCAGCAGAAGAATCTCTCCAAGATCCTCACATGCCTTTGCTCACAACCATCTATCAAATTTGCTATGTTTAATTCTTTCAAACGCAACACAAGTCTGATCTGGTTCCTTCCTTATATTTCTGAAAGATTGTCTATGCGCTTCTGGTACCATTCGTAGGCAATCAATATAGCCTGTTTTACTTCATGTTCTCTTGACACCTCCTCTGACAATGCTGCAAACACCTCATTAGCCCTGCCTACCAACTTGCTCTGAATTAACATTACCCACCCAGTCTCTGGCTATGAAAAGGTTTGCTCATCATCACTTTCCGCCTCACTAAGCCTTTCTTCTACCTTCATTTCCATGACGTTAAGTCAACTATCCTGTCTAATTTGCAACTTCCAAAGTTCAAACTTTTTCTCCTCTTTGTCTTTCCTCTGCTTGTAATTCAAACAGTTCCCTTTCCTGCTCAAGCTGTTTCGACTACAATTGAATTCTAGCCACTTCCAAAAGGTTCTTATGGCCTTTGCAACCAATTCAAATGTCGAGCTATTGTAATTACCTCTTCTTTTCTCACAAAGGCAACTACAGCTCCAGCTTGTTTGTCTGTTCCAGCAACGTTACCTTCCTCGTCTTTAGTAAATACCTAGTCACCACTTCCACCCCCAGAAAATTTAGTGACTGAAAGAGCCATTACCTCACTTTTGATTTAACCAACAAGCAACCTAAATTACACAGATTCTCCACTTCTCACCCAAGTTTTATTTAAAGATCTAGGACATTTAGCCCCAAATCTGTTTAATTGTGTTCCAGCCCGTCCCAGATCCCGGAGCTGAGCCCCCAATCTGTTATAAGCGGAAGTTGGCCCCTCTCTTGGTGTTTCTGTTTTAGTTATCAGAGAGGCTCGCCTTGCCCTATAATCTGTTAAAAGAAGTGTGAAGTGAGAAAAGCGGTATAACCCGACTCTTACCCTCAAGCTGTTATAAAGGGCTGGTTAAATGGAATGAACACCTTTCACTCACTATAATCAACAAGTAACAATTTGTTTATCTGAATCTAACAGTGAACAAATTAACTGAACCGGAACCAAACAATTCCCCCTTAACGGCTATTCCCGAAAACAAAATTCTAGTGGTATGCTGTTCTAAAAAATACAAGTCCCACTTAGATAAAGGTAAACAATAAAAATTAAAAAGCTTAGTCTTTTGAAATTACAGTGAGAATACGTCTTCTGTCCCATCTCCGCTGATCTTCAGTTGGAAATAATGCCTTTCTCAGTCAAATTCGTGTGTCAGGAATATTAACTAACAGTGCTGCTGCACCTTCAGATGGATGATGGTTACGCAGAGAGTTTAAAGAATTGAGAGCCAGTGATTTTCTCTTTACGGCTGCTGGTTGTTAACTAACAGATGGCAGTTGCTCTCTCATCAATTTTCAAATACGCTTTTATACCCTTGGTGACCAGTCAATTTCTTACAATAGGATTGGTCTTAGGTTGCCAAAACCATCAGGTTTAAGTTTAATTGGTTTTAATGTAAGTGCTTGGATTAAATTAATTGGCTGATTCAAACTGGTTGCCTTAGTAACAAATCAAGACTACTGCCTGGGTTGCTGACCATGCAGTGTTTTGATATAAATGTTTAATTTCAGGAACTCTGACCCTGCTGCTGCTCACAAACATTTCTTAGAAAAATCTCCAAGCCTAGAAAAAAAAACCTTTTAAAAAAAAAAAGGGACAACACACTTCACCCCCCCCACCCCCCATTTTACAACAAATTCTAACATCCTGCCTTCCAATCCACAAGTACTCTACCCAACTTCGCAACAAAGGCTGAGATAGAATCCTGATCAGTAGGGAAATCTGGGGTTATAGGAAAAAAGGCAGGAAAGCGGATGTGAGGAACGTTGGATCAGCCATGATCCTACTGAATGGCAGAACAGGCTCAAGGGGGTCAGATGGTCTCCTCTGCTTCCTATTTCTTATGGCCTTTTCATCCTGACTTGGGAAGATCTCCATTTCTTCAGTGTCACTGTTCAAAATCCTCCTCTCCCTAGCAGCATTGTGGGTTTACCCACACTGCATGAATTGCTGTGGTTCAGGGCAGCAGCTCACTACAATCTTTTCAAGGGCAAATAAGGATGAACAAGAAGTGCAAGCCCAGTCACCAATGCCAACATCTCATGAAAGAGATAAAAAAGTACAGTACCTACTACTACATCAATTTTTCTTGCCAGTGATATCATACACAAGGGTCCCTAGCCAACGTTGCTCTGAATGCTTGTGAATTTATGCTCAATCTAAGAGACAAAATTTTGGTCTAAAAGATCCAAAAAAATCTGTGAACAGAAAAACGTGCTTTCTCATTTGTTCAATACTAACATGCAACATTGTCTCAAGTTCCCGAGTTCTTTCTAACCTATTTAATTATGCTATTCCACATGGATGCAGTCTAATCCCTTAAACATTTTCAAGGTATGAAATCTATCTGAAGTATATACCGTTCTTAAGAAATCCCAGCACTTCCAGCCTATTATGACTGGTAAGGGCTTTTAAGTTGGACACTGCACCATGGAATTTGTTATGTTCAGTTGATATAACTGCACACATCTTATAAAATCAGTATTCTGCATTGAAACGCAAGAGATGACATTATGCTACTAAAAGCTTTTACTCATTCTGTAACCAGTGATAAAATGTGTTCCATTAAGGGAAAAGAAAAACAGATCCACACTAAGTTTGGACAGTATCAATCCATTAATTAGCACAGCTTCACTTTTGGGCAATTACAGAGAAATCATAATGGGTGGTCTAGTGGCAGATCAGTTTGCGAGATTTCAGGCAAACCGTTAGTAAAAGGATGACTTAAATCAGAAACGGTTCACATCATATTGCAGCAACCAAAAGCTAACACTTTACTCAATGCAGTTAATCTTTCCTCACCAACACAATTCAAAACATTAGATTTAAGACTAAACAATAAACACAAATTAGCACACAGAGATAGTAAGAACTGCCGATGCTGGAGTCTGAGATAATAAGGCGTGGAGCTGGAGGAACACAACAGGCCAGGCAGCATCAGAGGAGCAGGAAAACTGACGTTGTGTGTCAGGACCCTTCTTCAGAAATGGGGGAGGGGACACAATTCCCCTTGTCCTCACATATCACCCCATTAACCTCCGGATTCAACACATCATTCTCTGCCACTTCTGCCACCTCCAATCTGATCCCACTACGAAGGATATATTTCCCACGCCACCCTTATCTGCCTTCCAGAGGGACTGCTCTCTCTGCGACTCCCTCATCCACTCCACACAAGCCCCACCACCCCTGGCACCTTTCGTTGCAACCGCAGGAGGTGCTACACCTGCCCCCTCACCTCCAACCCAGGCCCAAAAAAAAAAGACAAACCTTCCTCATTAAACAGATGTTCACCTCCACATCCACTAATGTGGTCTATTGTATCTGCTGTGGCCCCCTCTACATCGGGGAGACCAAGCGGAGGCTCGAAGACCGCTTTGTGGAGCACCTACGCTCGGTTCACGACAAAACCTCCCAGTCGTGAGCCACTTCAAGTCCCACCCCCACCCCCAACTCCTTTGACGACATGTCCATCTTGGGCCTCCTCCAGTGTCACAACGATGCCACCCGGAAACTGGAGGAACAGCACCTCCTATTTGACCTTGGAAGCCTATAACCCAACAGTCTCAACGTGGGCTTTACTAGCTTCAAAATCTCCCCATCCCTGCCTCCTTGACCCGTCCGTCTTCTCTCCCACCTATCTGCTTCTCCCATCTCACTGACCAATCCCTACCTACACTCACCTTTACTAGCTTCGCCTCCACCTCCTTGACGTGTCCGTCTTCTCTCCCATCTATCCGCTCCACTATTTATCTGCTATCTCTGCAACCCCCCCCACCATTTATTTCAGAATCCCCTTCCCCTCCCCCATCCTCTGAAGAAGAGTCCCGACCTGAAACATCAGCTTTCCTACTCCTCTGATGCTGCCTGGCCTGTTGCGTTCCTCCAGCTCCACAGCTTATTACAATTAGTACACAAATTTTTGTAAAGAGTAAGTTTGCTCTTTAGTTAACACATACATTCTGTGCAGTGTAAGATCATCAAACATTCACAAAATAATTTAGCACAAAGCAGTTTCTGTTCATAAGAAGATATTTATTTTTCAAAGCCAAAGTATCTGTAGACCAAGGCTAGTTTATTTGCCTCAATGATGGTAGAGAGATCCTGGAGACTTACAATTTAACATGTTAGCAGAATGGAACACCAAGCCAAAGGATTGACAGGAGTTTATTAATAGTACAAACTTTACATACATGAGTCACACTAAAGAACTGAAATATATATTGTATTTTGTTTTAACAATCTTTAAATACATCCCAAAAAATCTGATTACTAAACTATTTTTAATAAAATAACACTTAGTATACTAATTGACAAGAAATGTACCTTTTCCTTTGCTTTCAGAAGGCAGTTTGTCTGTTCCCAAAGGCTCTACAGAAGCATCATCCCCTTTGCTGAAAGGCAAAACAGTATGTCAGATAAGCTATGGATCAGCAGCTAGCTATCCTGCATTATCACAGAGAACAGGAAGTAGATTTAACTAAGCCTCCATTTAACATCAGCAAGCACTGGTCCATGAAGTACACTCCCACATAAAGCCATATTTGCAATGCTTTTCAAAAATCAAGTAGTAATTTAGGCCAAGTACTGGAAACCTATCTGGAGTTAAAAAACCTCATTAAATTCAAAACTACTTAAATTCAGCATCAAAAAAAGTGTTTCCCTCTGAATTCATTTCTTGAATACTCTGTACTTGTATGTTTAAGCAGGATTACAAGCGAGGACAAATTTCTGCAATGCATATAGTGGATAGGCCAGCCAATTCAGTAGGCTGGACTTAGACTTGGTTCAATAGCGGATCTACCCAGTACTTCTGTTTTCATTTAGATAATGGTAGTATTGAAATGCTGTTAAGAGACAGGATCTTCAGACTACAAGAAAGAAATTCATCACTGAAAACAAATCTCCATTTGTGGAAAGTACAAATAATGGCTAATCCTACAAAATCATTAGTGTAATCTGAATTAATTTATTGAGTTTCACAATCTAAACCACATTTGATTATCCAATTATCCAACTAGAAATTATGTAAAATCTCAGCAAATACAGCTGTTGTGCTCATCTTTTCCAAACTGAACAGCATGTTACCTGAATACAAAAGACCAAAGTAATGGTGGCAATTTGTCTTACCTGTTCTTATCAGCCATGTTTCACCTTAATTCACCTGGAAAAAAGGGAAAGTCAATGCAATTTTTACATAGCAACTAAAAAAGGTACAATTTTCAATTCGAATGGAACTTAACAAGCAGATACATAATGATGGAAGGTATCATCAGCACTAACAAGCAGCAGTTCATTAGCAATAACCTGTTTACTGACACATCAATCAAGGCCACCCAGCTTCTGATCTTGTTGCAACCTTGGTCTGAACTCCAGAGGTGCAGGAGACCTTGACATCAAGACCACATTTGTTCAATTGTGGCATCAAGGAGTCCAAGCAAAACCAGAATCAATGGGAATTCAGAGAAACCTCTCTGTTGATTGAAGTCATACCTAGCACAAAAGGAAGATGGTTGTTGTTGTTAAAAGTCAGTCATTTTAGAAACAGGACACCTCAGCAGGAGTTCCTCAAGGTAGTGTCCTAGACCCAATCATCTTCAGCTGCTACCTCAGTGACCTTCGCCCTACCCTAAAGGTCAAAGGCGATGTTTGCTGATGACTGTGCAATATGCAGTACCATTTGCAACTCGTCAAATACTGCAGTATATATTCAAACGCAGAAAGACGACAGCTCCCCACCACCTTATCGCGTGTAACTAGAGATGGGCAATAAATGCTGGTCCATCCAGTGAAACCCACATTATTTAAATTCTTTCAAGCAAAGTTTGTCTTACAGCTACACTGCAACCCTTCGACTACTGTGACTCAAAATCAACATACTGGTTTCCTTGTAAATTAAAAAATGTTTATATCTCAAACAAAAAAAGTGATCTCAACACCAACTCATTCATTCACACAAATCGCACCGGAAAAGGTGACTACAAAAAAGATGTAGTATGCAGAGTTTTTTTTTTAAAACTAAAAGAAAAGTCTATAAGTTATTACTGAAACAAGATCACAAGAGGAACGCATAGGGTGAATTTGAGAGTACTTTCTCGCGTGGCGAGACAAAAATTAAAACAGATCAATTAAGGCCAGCAGTACGACACCCTGCCCCACCATTCAAAAAAAAAGGGCTGATCTGATTATTTTACATTTTCCAATACACCAAAATAACCATTTACCCCTTGCTTATCAGGAATCACTGTTCCTTAAAAGTATCTACAGCCTCCGCTTTCACTGCTTTTTGCGATAGATGGCTTCAAAGTCTCCCAGCCCGCTACAAAAAAAAATCCTTAACCCATCTTAAAAATAAAGGAGTTGCCCACTTTAGTGACTCCTAGTTCTATATTCTGCTATATCTTTGCCTCATGCACCCCGTTAAGACCCCTGTTTCAGTTAAGTCACCTTACTCTTCTAAAAGAGTGGAAATGAGTGTAGCCTGATGAAGCTTTCCTCACAAGGCAATCCACCTAGTCCAGTAAGCTTCTGAACTGCTTCCAATACATTTGCAACATTCTTTATTAAGGAGATCAATATTGGATTCTCCAGATACCACCTACTATTGCTTTAATTTCCTCTTCCAATAAACACTTGTTAGCTTTTTAATTATTTCCTGTACCTGCACACTATTCATTTTAGTTCAGCCAGATCACCCACATCTAAGCTTGGCAATCTCCCACTAAGATAGTATGCCTTTTTTCTATTCTTCCAGCCAAAATAAACAATTGTACATTTCCATTTGCCATATTTTTGCCCTCTCACTTGACTTACCTATATCCCTTTATCGCCTTAATTTTTCTGATAACAAAACTTGGAAAACGAACAGTTCCTTCATTAAGTTATTTATATAAATTGTAAAAGTTGAGGCCGCAGCTTTGATCCCTGTAGCACACAAATTGTCAAATCTTGGCGACCAGAAAATTATTCACTTTTGCCTACATCTTCCTGTACCTGGAAGTCCAAGTTCAATAAAAGCAATTTCCCTTTACTCACAGCACAGTAATTTTAAGAAACATGATTTTAAATAAGATTTGCCAAAAACTGTTTCCTCTTACTGACTGCAATGAATTTTACAAAAGTACCCTGCCGCAATGTATTTAACAGCTTCCCAATGACTGAAAGTCATGTGTCATACAGCATGGAAACAGACCCTTTGGTCCAACTCGTCCATTCTGTTAAGCCAACTTGCCGGTTTCCTCTGTTTTTTGTCTTCCTCTGTGGGTTCGCTTTTTCTAGCTTAATGACACCTTTCCCATTACATTGCTGATGTGTCTCTTTTAGACGGCCAGGATTTGGGGAGTCAGGTGGTGAGTAACTCACTGCAAAATTCCTAGCCTCTCACCTGTTTTTGTAGCCACAGTATTTATATGGGTAGGCCAGTTACATCTAGTCAATGGTAAGCCCCCACTGGACGCAAGTACTGGGAAATTTAGATACTGTTAAGAGCGAATTCTCTTGCTGAAGATGGTCATTGTCTGCACTTGTTTGGCATGAATTTTTTTTAACCATCTTCCTTTGTGACTTCGAGTCTTTCCCACGATCCCCATTGATGCTAGTTTTGCTAGGTTTCCTTGATTTCACACTATAAAACACACCCTTGATGTCAATAGCATTCACTCGTTCTTGAGTTCAGCTGTTCTATTCATATTTGGACCAAGGTAGCAACGGGTCAACAGCCGAGTAGCCTCGACAGAACCAAAACTGAGAATTAGTAGGCAGGTTATTGCTGAGCAAACACTGTTTAGTAACGTGGATGACTCACCATCACTTTACTGATCAAGAATAAGCGGAACGGTGGTAATTGGCTGGGTTGGACGTGTCCTGGCTTTGTGTAAAAGATATAGCGCAAACCTTTCATTAACCGGCACCTATGAGACTAGGAGTGTGCTGGTTGATCAGAAGGTCCACATAATCAACGTTAAAAACACACAATACGTGATGCAGGGGGATATACACACACTTTTATACTTAAAGAATAAATCACTTAAATCATAATACAATTTTGCTTCAAACAAAACTTACCAGCAGAGTCTTCTCACTCACACTCTTAACTGACTGCTTGGAAATTGCAGAGATCACGATAATACACAGACTTCCGGTGTTTGAGGTATATAATTTTTGCCGGTTTAAATCGAGTGTAGTGGTTCATAAAGGTGCCAATTAAAACAAAGCTTACTATACCTGGCAACTGTCCACATTGGTTAGATGCCAGTGTTGGAGCTGTTCTGAAACAGCACAGCTAATGAGGTAGCAAGTTCGGAAGCACCACTCTTCAGTATTTTGGTAGAATATTGTCAGGGTTCATAGGTTTCCAATATCCAGTGACTTCAGCTGTTTTTTGATATCATGTGGAGCGAGCAAATTGCCCATGACAGCATTTGCCATGCAAGGGACTCATGGTTAGTTGAGAAAAAGAAGGGAGGATCATCCCACCATCCCTCCTCCGTTTGTGATACAGCAGACCTATTACTTAGCTGCTCTTCTGCCATTTTCCCCTTTTTTTGGCCCATCTAAAATTCCACACAACTAAAGGCCATCACATGCCTTGCAGTATTTCAACCACTGGAAAAGCTTATTACATGCATTTAAACAGAAATAAAAAAAGTTTCAGGGATGGCAAGAATACATGCCATCTGCCTCAGTGCTGTGCAACAGTCCTTTATAGTTAATTCTCAAAGAGTTAATTTTTTTTTTAAACACTAAGCCAACATATCTTTTGTAATGGCAATGTAGGTGACTTGAATAGTCTATTTGGTCACACAAAAGTTGAGAGCTACAAAACAGCAGAACGGAATCCTGGCATGCGCTAACTGGGAAATTTACTTTGTAAACTGACATATATATAAAAAAAAAATTTTCAATCATAGGACATAGGCTTCACTGGCAAGGTTGAGATTTGCTTTTTACCTAATGTACATCAAGATTAACTGCCTATTAATTTGCCGTTAATGGGGCCTTTTAAAAATGTTCACTCGTGGGACACAGACATCTCTAGATGACCAGCATTTTATTGCCTGTGGCTAGTCATCCTTGTGGCAATAGCGAGGAGCTGCCTTCTTGAACTGCTGTAGTCCACATGCTGTAGGTTAACCTATAATGCCATTAGGGAGGGAATTCCAAATTCTGACCCAGTGACAGTGAAGGCATGGTGATATATTTTCAAGTCAGAATGTTAAGTGGCTGGGAGGGCAACTTGCACATGGTGGTGCTCCCATGTATCTGCTACTCTCATCCTTCGGGATGGAAGTATCGTACGTTTGGAAAGTTCAGGCCAAGCATCTTGGGTGAATTTCTGCAATGCACCTTGTTGTTAGTACACGGAACGTCAGGTGATGGAGGGAGTGGATGCCTATAATGTCAATCAAGCAGGCTGCTTTGTCCTGGATGGTGTCAACCTTCTTGACTGATGTTCGTGCTGCACCCTTCTAGCCAAGTGAGGAATATTCTATCACACTCCTGACTTGTGCCTTGTAGGTGGTGGACAGGCTTTGGGCAATCAGGAGATGAATTATTCCTAGCTTCTGAACTGCTCTCGTAGCTAGTGTTTGCGTGAGAAGTCCAGTTGAGTTTCTGGTCAATGGTAACCCCATTGAATGTCACGGGACAGTGATTAGGTTGTCTTTTATTGGAGCTGGCCATTGCCTGACATTAACAAATATGACTAATTATTTAAACAAACTGAGTGATTATGTTAAAAGCAAACTTTTTTTTTTAAAAAATGAAACACTTAGGCACCAAGAAAGTGAAAAGCACCAAATACTCCTTGCTTTTCATTCTCTGATAATGACTGAATGACATAATTTGAGGAATATTAATTTGAACATTTAACCACAAGATTAACAAACTACTTCACTTTCCAGCCTTATCATCTTCCCTCTTTTGATTTCTCCCACTTACCATTTCCTTTCTTAAATGAAATATTTCCAACACTCCAATTAGAAAGTAAAATGTGTTCCAATTTCTGAGAAGTTATTATTCCTATGATTCTGGGGACTGTTCAATGCAATTGATCAGAGTGGTATTAGTTAGAAGGCAGTTTCTGAAAGCAGTCAGCAAAGTGAAAAAAAAAAAATCACTGACCAGAAACACTCATTGGTTTTGTTGCTCTCCAAAAATGCTTCC